CGATTTCAGATTGTGGGAAATTGCGGCTAATCAGTGCAAACTGATTAACTGGAAATGAAAGGAGTTCATCCGACATGCCGAAACTTTGTCCCTTATCAATGTAAAACGTTAATATTTCACTTACGTGTGTATTAATCAGAATTTATTTATGGGCAAGTTATGTGGTGAGTTCATACAGATTTAAGGCCAATTTCACCTGTTCATATCGGCAGATGGCACAATCCGACTGCCGACTGTATATCAATGTTATAAGTCGTACGCCATCAGTACCTCGATCTGTACAAAGCTGAAGATGGAATCGTGAGCATGGTACACACTCGTTGAGATAAGTACACACCCAATGTGTACAAACACATCTATCTCTTAACTGTTTTATCACTGGCAAGCACTAAACATGTGTTTTTGGAGTAGAAATCAAAATCTCATTCGAAAAGCACATAGCCGTCTTTTCGACCGGGTTCGAGTTAACGGGAGATAAGATTCGGGCAAACTGGTGGTGATAGTTTATTTTTATTATTTTTTGTTGGTTTGTTGTTTAACGCCGAATCAGCAATATTCTAGCTATATGGCGGCTATCTGTAAAATAATACTCTTGATCAGTCAATCCAGTGACTGACAACATGAGCATCGATCTACGCAGTCGGGATACGGTGACATGCATCAACCGCATCAGCGAGTCTGAGCACCAAATGGCGTCAGTCGCTTCTTCCGACAATCATATTCTCCCATACTGAAAGTAACGTCATTCAATCTGGTTTATCTTACCTGACACATAAATGACGTTTTCTGATTGGCTGAACGCTCTATGTACCCCGCTTACGAGCGAGTAACATTTTCTCGTTGGGAATGCCGAGCTGTGGGAATTCATTTGGTACTTCGTGTTAGTAATTCTTTATCTCGAATAATTGAGTCACGTATGATGAACGGAAATGACCGATGTTTTGCGAATGCAAATCGATGAAAGGGAGATAACTCTCAATTCTTGTCTGTCGTCGGTATTGGTTAATTGCCAAACTCTAGTACTCCTTATTATGATCCGATACCTGTACTTCAAACAGTTCAGAATTAACATTGAGGTGCTCGGTAAGATAAATACATAGTTCACTGGTCCCTCTGTGTGCATCAACTCAAGTCCCCCTTGTGACCAGTGAACAACTTACAATAACCATATCAGAAAGGAAAATTAATCTTAGAGTATGGCCCTTCGAAAAATGTGGAAATCATACTTACCATGACAGTTTCGAAAAGTGTAACCATCGACGAAAAAAAGTCTCACCTTTTCTCAGGTCAATGTGAACCGTTGTTCGCTGAGTGGTATGAATTCATTGTAACTTTAAAAAACAATATACCGAAAATTACCATGCTGCCAGTCTTTTATTGTGTTTTGAATCAAGTTCCCCCCGAGATCATTTTCATTCCTAAGCGGTTCCATGTGTGACATACTTTGTTTTTCAAAACAATGTAGTTTAAAACTGAATTGGATGTTTTCCGTACAACTGTTTCCAATTACCAGAATAACGAGACCGCAGATGATGTGTGCAAACGGAGCTAACATCAACAAGCGCTGGCTGTGTTTTAAAAACAAAGTCCGGGCCCAAACAAAACACGTGCCACAGTAAGCAAAGGGAGACAACTATTGTTGCAAATTGAACCAAACATAGACTAGTTTTTCTCCTGGGAAATTGACAATCCGTTGTTTGGGCGTAAAGAATTATATTACAAACCACAGACAAACTGTAGCGAAACAGGGTTGCGCAACAGGGAGAAAAATTGTGCGCGAGCGATCAATGGATATGGGAAGACGGGTATTTTCTCTCTGTTGCGCAACCCTATTTTCGCTACAGTTTGCCTGTGTAAATATCTCTGTCAAATAAGAGCATGATATGTTTGATGTTCAATTGAAAATATCACTAGTCGAGGCAGGGGTAGTAGTTGAGCACTGAAGACATCAGATAACTGAAAATCGAAACCGAAGATGGCCTAACTGAGCTAACGTTGGTTCCGGTCCTGTCGTATGCGCGTTTCCTCTCATCCCATCAACAAGTTACCTTTATGTTCACTTTGTTCGAAAGTCAAAAATATTTCGATATGGAAGATAGTACTGAGTGAGTGAGTTTCAGTTTTGTGCCGAACAATATTCCCGCAATATCACGGCGGAGGACACCAGAAATGGCCTCATGTGGGGAATTGAACAAGGGTCTTCGGCGTGACGAGCGAACGCTTGAACCACTATGCTATCCACCCGCCCACCTCGGGAACAAACACTGAGGCAGACTATGTGTGAAATAAGACACTACGTACGCTATGCACAATGGGAATCAGAAACGTGAATTACGAGAGAGGGGGGAGGGGGGGATAATAATTGCTCACTACGCATTATCTGTTGTTGTCAATGACAATCCGTGCGGAACCCTTGAAAATCCGAGTTAGGTTTGATTTTCAGCAACACATGCTTGTCGTAAGAGGCGACTAACGGCACCGGGTGGTCAGGCTCGCTGACTTGGTTGACACATGTCATCGTATCTCAGTTGCATAGATCGATCCGCGTGATGCTTGTCACTGGGTTGTCTGGTCCAGACTCGATAATTTATCGGCTACCGCCATATAGCTGGAATATTGCTGAGTGCGGCGTTAAACAGTCCGTGTGGACGGATTCAACTGAATTTGGGGCGGCATTTTTCCGTTTCCACTGTGACATGAGCAGCACAGAACAAATTTCAGGTCAATATTGTGAAAGCCATTTTTGTGAGTGAGTGAGTTGTGTTTTACGCCGCTTTTAGCAATATTCCAGCAACATCGCGGCAGTGGACACCAGAAATGGGCTTCACACATTGTACCTATGTTTGGAATCGAACCAGGGTCTTCGGCGTGACGAGCGAACGGCTTAACCACGAAGGGCTACCCAGACCGCCCCTTTGGTGAAAGCGGAATTTAAGTTTAAGGTCATATTGTGAAAACCGTTTTTTTTTATAGTAAGTAGCGACTGACTTGGCGACACATGTCAGAATGATACTGGACTGTTTTGTCCAAAATATTTCCAGACAGCGTTATATAGTTGGACTATTGGTGAGAGCAGGCTAAACACCAAACAATGGAATCTACATAAAGCGACGCATCAGTCGAAATACCACCGAAACACAATATACTGACAATCATAACATGTGTAGCATCGAGACATGTTTCAGTTCTAAACATGTTAAAATAACATATCACTGAACATAATTGTGAAGAAGATTATTATGAATTTATGATGAACAATACGTTTGGGAAAAGTGTTGCAATCAGATTCATCCGATTCACTGATATTTGCATAACTCATATATCACCAGCATGTACCACAGGCTTGGTATATATAATAACAGCATAAATGTATGTACAAATATACCAAGCTGAGATAATGATGAATAGAACAATTGCAACGTCAACAATCTCAATAGAAATGGTGGCAGTCTGAAGAATACAAGTTGACAGGATGCTGGTTCTTATCGAGTCGAGATTTTACAAGTGTTGTGCAGGTGAGTGAGTGAGTTTAGTTTTACGCCGCACTCAGCAATATTCCAGCTGTATGGTGGCGGTCTGTATAAAATAGAGTCTGGGCCAGACAATCCAGTGATCAACAGCATGAGCATCGATCAACGCAATTGGGATACAATAACATGTGTCAACCAAGTCAGCGAGTCTGACCACCCAATCCCCTTGGTCGCCTCTTGCGACAATTCTTTAAGCATGGGTTACTGAAGATCAATTCTAACCTGGATCTTCACGGGTAGGCAAGAAACGCTTGTGATTGTGCATTTAGACTCTTAGTAAGTCAAAACAAATGCAGTTTAATCAGAAGCTGGACAGGTAAGAATTAGGACTTCGTAACCGTTCGATATTCTGGGGGATAGCGATGTTAATGGGTTTAGGTGAGGATATATTTGCTGCATCGGCAAAATTTATTTATTTATTATTTATTTATTCATCAATTGATTTATTGAGATAAATTAGATATGGTTCTTTAATAATTTATCGAAATAAGTTTGTTTATAACTTTTTAAAGATAACACCATCATGGGCATGCCCAGTGACATTCTGCAGGCAGGTAGCAAGCCCGATAGGTTGCAAAGCTTTATATTTAGATATCATTGGGGGTTTGCCTAACCTTTTTAGCAACAATCATGTGTAAGCCCGGGCTTTTTTTAATAATGGTAGCTTCGCCCCTGTTCTGATGTGGATGCAAGCGCAGGGCAGTACAAGTAAATTAGACTGGATTTTTCACATTGAGTGCGAGACTCGCGTGCTCATAACCTCAAAGCTATATTATAAACATTGTATTGAGCTTTCTCTTTTTGGAAGAAATAATATTTTCAAAATATTTGAATTTTATAGTTGACACATCATTTTGAAATGTGACTTCATGCCATCCAGCGTACTTCACTTCGGCATCCGGAATGCCACTTAATAGGGTGTGGTAACCTGTGTACCTAAAAATGGGTTGGTACCGTCACTGATGTATGTCCGCCTTTACTTTAAAATCAGCTGACGAAGTCTATAAGTTTAAATGTTATTTCAAAGACTCTTCGAAACACACACTCCGGCAAAGTGACGTACGACTCAGCATAACATGGCCGCATGGAATTCTGGGTAGAGACGCAGTGATGACTTAGCATAGCATTAGCATGGAACTCTGGACTAGTTGGAGACTGCAAAACAACCACATCTGTAAAACGCGGGAGTATATGATGTATGACGTCATGCACGCGCTGTATATGACGTCATATCATCGCCACTGCGGTTAAGTCAAGCATTTGAAGGTATTCAGCTTTCGCATTCAACAATGAGAGTCATCGTAATTTTCGCAGCTGTGTTGTTGATAATTTCTCTAGCAAAGTGTACGGTGCTAGAAGGCTATGATGATGAGCCACCAAATCTTATAACAAGGGAAGTGATGGAAGGGCCTCCTGGTAATGGAGAGATGGAGTGGGAACGAAGAAAGCGATCTGCTGGCCTAGGTGAGAATGATGAAATCATTCTTTCGCGTCCTAAACGATGGTCGAGGGCTTTTTCACTCAGACGACTCATGAACAGGAGAAATCAACGAAGGAAACATAGATACATGGGCAGACATCGTAAAGTAACGCCAAAATATAGGAGCGGGAAAACTAAAAAAGTTTCATGGTGGGAACGATGCGTAAGAAAGTTCAATAAAAAACCCAAAGCGTTCAATGTTACCTTTATGAAACAGAACCCGGAGTTAAAGAAAGCTAAATCTCGTGGAAATTCAAGACTTCGAAGATATGTTGGTGAAGGTAAGTAAACTTTGATTATCACTGTACTAACGCAAAGTGTTTGAAATAAAAATTGACAGGCTACCATCAGGTTCTAGAAGTTTTAAAAACTGCAGGCCCTGATTAAACGATTCAGTTGCCAACTTGGAGCCAACGTTGGTGCTAAGACGTGAGTTACAATAACCTTGATCGCATTGTACAACGGCACACAGGACTGAGCCAAAGTTCATTGAAACCAAACACGCTAGATTCTTAAATACTATATTGTTCCGATCACTGCATCAGAATTCACCCCGTTATATTATTGGCCAATATTGGGTATGAAGTTATGAACTAAATCACCGGTACCCTAACCCTAAGTAAAGTGCTTTCAAAGATGGCGGAAGGTATCCGGTATTCTGTAGTCTCCACGAATCAAGGTTACACGTAACCTTGATTTGTTGATATAAGGGAAGTGCGGCGAAATTCATATTTTAAGTGCATGATTTCATTTTGTATAGGCACTGATTATTTAATTCATTGATTCAGTAAATTGAAAATGCCTAATATTCCACTCGTGAATGAAACGTTTGTTTACCGAAGCCATTTGCAATCCTCATTCATTTGTGTGCCCACAAAATGTGACGTCACCTTGTTTCGTGGATTACGTAGTCGGTTACTTTATATCACTATGTACGACATCCCACTGCAGTAAGTATTGACACCAAGGAAAGCAGACGAGAAGTGAGAAGGTTCGAGCTAACAGTATCTTTTTTACTGGTCATTTTGTAAAAATAAAATTTGGTAATGGTGGCATTAGTGATCTGGGGCTATTTATCTCTGCTGGACAATTGTCCAGAGATTCGGAACTTTTTTGTCAGCGAGGCGTGGCATTGTATGTAGACCAAAAGTACCGCTTCGTGACGTCATTCGAGACTTAATTTACGAGATAGCACGATAATTACCGCGATCCACGAATCAAGGTTATCCACAAATTTATGTAACTTTCGGTACAGTTACAGAATACCGCATAGAATAGAAACAAAATAATTCCTCTTGAATATTGAAAAGGAGCCCCAGTGAGATGGGAGATAAATTGTAGACTGGCTTTAGGGCTTTAACATTGCAGAAAAGGCTGGGCGGAAGAAAACTAATGAGGTTCAGTGACTCCGAGACAGTCAACTGTCAAACTGTAACTCAAACTCGGTGTTTTCTCAGTAAACAGTAAATCATGATATAGCGTCTGCCGATTACTCTATTACGTGACAAAATTAGTGTGGATGATCTCTGAAATTTGGCACATCGCGACATATTGCTAGTTTTTACATTTCACTCAATCACCAATATTTGCAGCGTTATCTTGTGTTATTATTACCTTGTGTTATTATTTGAGCATAATGCATAATTTTATTCCTAACATATGATATTAATGACACGATACGATGATAATGAACCTCTTTATCATATAATGTCATTAAAATTACCCTTAAAAACAGAAGCAAATCGTACGTGAATTTATATGAAGAGAATCGAGAATTCGGGTAAGAATACTTAGCGGTACACAAGGGTGAAGGTCGTTCATGACGGCATATGGTTGTGACTAATACAGTGGAAACAGAACTCATGCTTAAAATAAGATCTTTCTGTCTGAAAAGAACAACAAAATCGAGCAGGGTTTTCTTGGCACTGTTTCTATTTTCATTGCGGGTAATCACCTCATCAATATCAGTTTCTGATACCTGACGGAATCGATTCGTCGTCTGTATTGTGATCGATAGATTAAATCTCTTGGTTGATACCTTTCCTAGACGGTCGCCTTTCACCCGTGCTTCATAATCCGTACCTTCAATTTGAAGGAAGTACTCTGTTTCATGTTTTCCAAAGTCAATTACTGCAGTAAAGACTCCAGAACCTCTGTCATTAATTCCTACAGAATCACCAATTTTGAGCATATGGGGGCAGCCATGTTTGTTTACAAACTCTTCAAGGCAATGTAAACTCGCGACGACGTCATCAATGAAATGTTAAAACGTTTTAGGATTCGCATGGCGTGTATGGAGGTTTGTAGAAGTAGTTCGTGGATTGACGTAATTTGGATACCAAGTTTATCAGATTGTTTTAAATTATTGCACCGATAACACCCTACATTAGATGATTAAACCCAGATCTGATAGGCGTATTATGACAGTTTAGACATAGTTTAGACAGTTTAGACACCAGTCAATGTTAGCAGATGAACCAGCTAAGATACACAGTAGCGTTCACTAAACGCTATGTATCTTAGCTACATATGAACCTGTCCCAAAAGGACATAGCCTTGAGTCAAGGACAGATGTGCAACAAATCATGTCTCAGAGAGCTGATGGTGATCTTAGATCGGGTGGTCAGGTTCGCTGACTTGGTTGACATATGTTATCGTATCCCAGTTGCGTTGATCGATGCTCATGCTCTTGATCACTTGATTGTCTGGTCCAGACTCGATTATTTACACACCGCCGCCATATAGCTGGAATATTGCTGAGTGCGGCGTTAAATACCAAACAAACAAACACTCAGCATCTCCTTGGCCAAGGTAGACTAACCTCTCTTGCTGCTCCCTCAAACTGAACTGGCCACACACTAAGTACCGAATCACGGTCGTTTTATCACATTTACAGGCATTTCTGGTCAGTCAGCCAGCATCTTGTCTACAGGGCCATGGCATGAGGCTTCAGAGGGCCTACCTTTAGAATACAGCACCACTAACTATAAAAATAGAGAAGTTGTGGTGCTGTATTCTAAAGGTGCTCCTTTCAGAGGTCAGTGGGCCATGACACCCAGCTACTCAGACAACTGCTGACGACCATGTAAATATTTTGCTAACCTGCTGTCCTCGAATTTGTATCAACCATGCTGAAAATGTTTACATGTAAAACCCATACTCTAGTGTGAAATTTACGCTGGTCCTGTGGTCTCTGGCAAGTAGAAGAATATTCATCAGATGAGAACCACTAAATGATAAGTTTGCAGTGGTCCTGGTGGCCAGTGAATTTTGTATTGATTGTTATTAAAGTAAGTCTATGAATGTTATTTTGGATTGTAGCTAAAATGGATAGAATTACCCGAATTACCATTAAAAAGCCCGCACGTTATCAGAAATGAGCGGGGCCACTGTAACTTGATAATGCCCGCAATATGCTTTTGACGACGGGCCATTATCAAGCCCGTTGTTAGATGACGTCATAAGTAGCTCAGCTCTTGATGTTCAATCACCTACGGCTCGTTTAAACTTGGGTTCATTATTGACGAAATTTCTGAGTCACATGTACCTGTGCCTTTATGCACTTTCTTGCCGGTGTCAGCCATAACAATTGTACCATAAATTACAACATACAGCAATGAAAACATCGACTGGAACTATAAAATTGTTGAGCACTGAAAGAAATGGCGGCTGGTAGTATGGGTCAAGGTCGAATGTCGTCACTCTCAATAGTGACGTCACCTGTTTTGTTCTATGACGTTTCCATATTTGTAAAAGGTATGTCAGTGACCTCCGTCGTTTGTTGTTAGCAATAAATGCTTCAAAACCGATGCCGTTGTTTTTATTCTTATGTTATTAGAAATTCTATCCAATTTAGCTATAATAACGGTAACGCTATTTTTCCGGGCATTATCATTTGATGAAAGTTAATGAAAGCAAATAAGAATGCCCTGAAAAAAAAGCGTTACCCTTACATCAATGAAGTACATACAAGGCCACTAATTATTGTCCACTCGCCAGTCCTGTGGTCTAGTAGGAAATTTTGAAAGGTTTCCTTCCCTGTACATGCTATTCCATGCACATGAGCATCAAAAACACGTCAGTTTCTTTTTGAATGGACACAATCCAGCTGGAATCTTATGCCATTGCCTCATCGGCCAATGGCAGATGATTTGAACACAACAAAATAGGTGAGTATAGTGATGGGTAATGTTTAGGCTTTGTTGACAAGAGGCTTTAGAAGGTAATATCAAAGTTGTTCAAACATCTTTTGTCCCGATGTAAAGTTCTTACTTAGAAGGCTGCCTGAATGACTTCAATTTGCATGTGCATAAATGCTGCCTTAAGTATTTCATACTGCCTGTACCTGTACCCCTTAGATCCCGTTTTAAATTGGGTCTTCAGCAACCCATGCTTGTCCTAAGGCCCCCCAAAATATGTCCGTTTCCTATTACATGATTTTTAAAAATAGGGTAGGTGGGTCGGTTTTATCTTTTTTTTATTTTTACTTATATTTTTTACTTTTTTAGTATCACCGGGTGAGCACCAGAGAAGGTCTTCAAGGATACCATATCATGTTGTTACAATGCCTTGTGATAAAACATCGAAAGATTTCTAGATCAAATCATTATTTATCAGGGATAAATCTACCCCCGCGTCTCTGACGCAACAAATTCTGACAGGACTCATATTTATTTTACATGTGCGTCCTCTTGGACGCAAGTTTTTGATGAAACACTAACGTTTATTTTTGTGGAGAGGCAATATCAAAGTATACATGGCTAAATCTCCGTAGATTAACTTCCATTCTCAAATAATTGACATGAGCTAATAAGTACACATTATTTGTAAAACGATCGCAGCTTTCATTCGTCATGATATTAAGTTCATTTCCGCGTTTCCAAAAATAGACATCTAGGTCACACCAAGGGAGGTAAGCGGTATGCAAATGAGATCCCAAGATTCATTGCTCGAGCATGTGCAGAACTACTAACCTAGGTTTTACACTCTATAAATAGACACAAACAGGCTAAGGGAGGTAAGCGATATGCAAATGAGGTTTTTCAAGACAAACTGATTGGTCAATGAACATTGTGACTCTGAATCAACAGTGTGAGCACTCAGTACCAGTTAGAGAAATGCAGGAAGCTTTAGTCAGTAGCTTAACAACTGTTAAATCTATCTGCATGTAATTTTTAAAGTGAAAGTGACATTTGACAGGTTAAATTTCTGCTGAGACAGAATGTCATTCTGTTTAAAGTTCTGCATCTCAAGTCCTGGGAAAGTAATCATATAAATGAAT